GCATATAAGGTATCCATGTATCGTATACAGCACCACTTTTATCTCTTCAATCTATCGTGCTCTTGTAGCATCATCGTGCATTGAAGATGTCGATCCGCGAAGGAAAATTGACACAATAATCGCCTGGACCGGTCATCCGTAGCATGCCCATTCAATGGTCCGGTGAGTTTGTACGGATGCCCGCACCACCGAGGCCCGGTCAATGGACATCCCGTCATCGGTGTCTGGATGTCCGGTCTCCGGTCTCCGGATACGAAATTATTCATAATTTTTTCTCTGCCATCTCCGTTGTTCTCCCCTCGAGAATATGCAGAACAGCCTCGGTGAGAGTACGAAGAATCTGATTCAGTAATCATTTACTGTATAGCCTGTGTCAACTCTGACAGGCTGCCGAGAAGTTGACATAAAGATTTTACCAAAAGTTTCCGCAGTTGTACACCTGCGATCACATTGACATATTGACAGAAATAACTTCAAGTACCTTCGCTGGAGTTCTGTGAGGGCTACGACAGACATATTTGTGATAGTCCCACAGGGAGAGTGGGGAAAGTGTGCAAGCCTTTTCAATGATATTTTCTACCCAGTCCCACATGGTGTATACAGGCCCTCTTTAGATAAATTCCCCCATCTTCTTCTGCAAACTCTCGTCTGTACCACTCTGAGTCTAATCACTGGCAGTATACAGGAGGTCTCCGTGAATTAATTTGCATTCATTGCTACATATACTGAACGATAACACCTTGGTTCCATTTATCAAAATATCCATGTCCTTTCAGCATCTCGCCGCGATCCGACAGCCATTCACTTCCAGTGTGCGGAGATGTGGCAAGTCCTCGAGCGCGTCGAAGCGCGTCCGCCAGCGTGGAATTCTCGTTCGGCAATTCCCGAACTAAACATGGGCGACTGAGCCTCTTCTGTGTTTGTCTACTACCATCACCTAGCATTGGTTCAGCCTCGTCTAACGCCCGCCATCACTCCAATCCGACGTCTCATTCATGTCTTCAGTCCACTTCGCATACCCATGAAACCCGTGATCGTCATCTGCGGCACCACCGGTGTCGGCAAGTCGAAGCTCGCGGTCGAGCTCGCGCAGCGGATATCGCAGGGCGCTCTGTCACCAGAATGGCGTTCTTCGAAGGTTCTCAACGCGGATGCCATGCAAGTCTATCGTGGCTTAGACGTGTTGACAAATAAGATGCCGGAGAACGAACGTCAGGGCGTCGAGCATCTGCTCATGGACTTTAAGAACCCTGGCGAGCGATATGTCGTTGGTGATTGGGTAGAAGACGCCATGAGGACTGTGAGCTAGCCCAAGTCTCATGTAACGATACGCAATGCCGACTGTATTCATATGCGCGAAGATCGACCAAATGCATGAACGAGCGGAAGTTCCGATCGTCGTCGGCGGAACTTCGTACTGGCTGCAGCACCTCATATTCTCGAATAGACTGCCGAACGACCCAGCCAGCAGCCCTCCCGCCTCTACTACCTCTCGAGCTCCTGATGAGGAGTTGGCTGCCTCGATAGCTGCATTGCCTCCCGAGATGCGAGCTTTACTCAATAACCTTCCCGATCCTGCACCCTCCGCCGCAGACCAGCCAGACCTAGCGCTGACGCTACATGAGATACTTGCGAAACTTGACCCTGTGATCTCCGGTACCTGGCATTGGCGAGATACTCGCAAAGTTCTGCGCAGTCTGTCTATCATCAAAGCGACCGGCCAACGTCCGAGCTCGCTGTATCGCTCACAAGCCGCTGAAGTCGCTTTGCCCAGGTACGCTCCTCACAAGTTGCTCGTAGACTCGTGGTATTGAAACCGCATCAGATACGACACGCTCTGCTTCTGGCTGCATGCGGACATGACGGCGCTCGAACCCCGCCTACGAGCGCGAGTCGACGATATGCTACGGGTATGCACATTTCTCTCCGTATGGGATCCCGTGCTGACAGGGCATAGGATGGGCTCTTGGACGAAGTCTCAGCGCTTCGAAAGATAGCAGGCACAAATAGTAACGACGCCGATCTATCTCAATTCGACTATACGTCCGGCATCTATCAATCTATCGGTGCGTTCTCTCTCACCCATCACCAGCTCTTTCTCATACCGTCATGTAGGATTCAAGGAGTTCGATCAGTACCTGGCCGAAGTCAACCCTTCGTCTGCTCAGTACGACCTTACCGTAGAGAACATGAAAGTGTCGACGAGACAGTACGCAAAACGACAAGTGTCTTGGATCCGTAACAAGTTGATACCCGCCGTGTACGCTGCACGTCGAGCGGCCGATAATGGTCCAGACTTCTACGCTCTTGACGCTACGGGTACGTACCTTTATCTACGCGCAACATATCGCCGCTTACACGTACCTTAGACCTCGCGGGTTGGCAGCGGAACGTATCTGATATCGCTCAGAATATCACGGCGGGTGAGCCACAAATCACCGCCGTACGTCTGTGGGCTGACTCTCGGTAGCGTTCTTGTCCGGTCAATCCATACCCGATCCTCTCACCACTTCTCTCGCCGCCGAGAAGCTGTTGCGCGAAAGCGCAAAGTCTGCTGAGTGCGTTTACCATCTCAAGCCTCCATGTTCACGGAGCGGCCTAACCGTACCACATAGCCCGATGGCGATGCTAGAAGCTCGCCGCCAGATCGTCTGTCCGACTTGCACCGTCGACAAGAATCGACCTGTCATGATTATCGAGGGCGAACCGTGGGAGGTGCATTGCAGGACGAAGGTGCACCGCAAGCTATCTAGGAAGATGTCATCCGGTGTGGATAACGGTGTTGACGGGTTAGCGTCAGCTATAGACTAACACGAGGGCCCCTCTCGCTACCAAAGATCCATTCCATCGATACCTGAATGTACGCAAAAGGTCACAGCTTGCAACACGTATCACCTAGACTGAGGTCTACTATCGTACCCGTCAAGATCACAGCCAACCTCTTCTATGCATGCTTCTGAGGGCCCCTAACGTCGCGCCGGGAGCGTTATGTATTCAGACAGAATCGCCTGTTGTGTGCCGTCACGTGTTCATTATGGCGTATCATTGCAATATTGGTCTATACCTGCTAGTGCTCCATCGCCGAGACAGAGGATGAAGAGGCAACCAGTGTGGCGCAAAATAGCTAGAGTACAATGCCGCTCGTGAGGAAGAACGGTGGCCCCACGTGTCCTTGCATGCCGGCGACGAACAACATCTTAGATAGTTCGCGTACGCTATCAGCGGCCCTAGAAAACGACCCGTTTGAACTCAGCATTGAGGATACCCTATTCTGACGTGATAGTGGTGGGCGAAGTTACGAAAGTCCGACGTTCAAGCAAAGGTAAAAGCCCAAGTAGAAAGCCATGGGAATTTCGGCACGCGACCTTTTTGTCTACGCACTGACCCATCGACCGTGGTTGCCTCTGCTCGTCATTCCCTCCGTCTTCGGTTGTGACATGCTCAATCTCTAATCAACATGCCACAAACGTCGACTAGCCCACCTGGCATCTCAGGAAGCTTTCTTCGTCGGCTCATTGCGCTGTGGCAGCAGTATGTACGCAGTTTACGCCACTGGTACGAGCAGTCGTGCTGGTGGCATCGGCTTCCATCTCTGCTCTGGAGAGGTGATATCCGTTTCTAGCTCGAAACTTTCGGAACTGACCATATCTCGTCATAGCTACCTGTGGGCGGTGGCTCTTCGCAAAGGCTGCCTTGTCGCGTCATGAAGCTGACGCAGAGATCAGTGCGATGCGCTTTGTTCGCGCGCATACGAGCATACCTGTACCTCACGTGTGGGGTTGCATACGCTTACCTTGGGCCAGACACGATGACTGTCATATCATCATGAATCGTGCCGCCGGAGTTAACCTCGACAGTATCTGGCGGAAACTCGACGAATCTGCCCGGGATCGCGTCGTTGATCAACTCAAACCCTTCGTCGACGAGATGCGTCGCATACCATCTCCCCATGGCTCAGCCATCTGTGCGGTGAACGGTAGCTCTGTGGTCGATCACCGGCTTCCCTATCGTCAACGAGGGCCCTTCGCTGACGAACAGGCGTTCAATCGCATACTACGGTACTTTGAGCCATTGCACCTCCTTCCACCGGATATAGTGGCGGCGCATGCTCTATCACATCCTATTGTTCTCACACATGGCGACCTCATGCCGCGCAACATCATGGTCGATCCCTCCACCTTGAAGATCACCGCAGTCGTTGATTGGGGTTGTGCGGGATGGTTCCCGGCTTGGTGGGAATATCGGAAGTCCGTCTGGACGGCGTACTCTGCTCTCGAGAAGAGATCTTGGGTCCCGCGACTTTCCCGGTTCATGACGATCTACCCCATGGAGACAGAGGCGGACGACTATCTTGTGCGGCAGTTCCCGCCATGATTACTCGAAGTGGAAAACACTTGCTTATCTACGTTGACGATGTATCTCTACTTAAGGCAGTATGATTTTTGAACCATTGAGGTACAACAAGTGCAATATCGTGACTCAAAATCGTGTTACATCTTCCGTAAGTAAAACTGCGTTGATATCTGACCTAGTCAGCCCTCAGGCCGGTAACTATTGGATGTATTGTTCCGGGAAGGACACATATTTCACCGCAGACCCATCCGATGCACGTCCATATGCCCACTCTGCCTCCATCCCCTTGTCTTCAAGTTCGTCATCTTCCTCCTCACTCCGGTCCAGTTTGATCGCTTGCTTATAAATCTCGTTGTAGAGCGTATCGTTGCGGTGCATGCTCTCCACGAACTCAAGACCCCAAGCGCTCCCATAGCTGGTCAGAATATCGAGGATCCACCGAGCGCATGTCCATCCAGTACCATCCATCTTGTGTTCGCTTTGGGTCTTTGGATAAGCCGGGATCTCGTCGAGAAAGGCCTCCATGTCCTTCGCCGTCATCTTGCCGTCAGAGAAAGGCGGGAATGCGACTAGACCGAAGAAATTCGAGCTTTTCGATAGGACCACGGGATTCTTGTGAGTCTGCCAAAAGGCGTCTACAACTCCATCGGCGCGCGCTGCACGCACTTGCTTGATTTCGAAAGCTCTGATGCTCTGTCGCGAAGTAGGAAAGCCACCGTCGGTGACGATAAGGGCCCAGTGATATTTCCGGCGAACCCCTGTATGGTACATGGCAATGAAGAGCCTTACTTTGGACATAGCTGCGCGATTGCGTTAGACTGGTCTTGCTGGGGTACAACAGGCGTACCTGTGCACAAGAGAAGTGCCGAGAGATCTAGGTTCGAGAGGCAGAGTCGGCGGAGGGGACGGTTACCTGTTGACTGAGCGCAGACCCAGGATCACCAAGTTTTATACCTCTTGAATGGTCTTTTGTGTATATAGACTAACGGAAGGTGGCGGAGAAGTACGTAAAGCGATTGTATGTCGGAGTAGGAGGGTGAGAATGCGCATCTGAAAGAATGGCCGTAGCCTGAAAGAGAAGAAAGGGCGGAAGAGTCGAGACTTCGACAGCCCATGTGCCGCGCAAGTCGCCCCGCTAGCACTATAAGATCAGGAACGGCTGAGGTGCAGTCGTTCCATAAGCCATCTGCACGCTGCAGAATGGCCTAAAAACAGTCGTGTTTGGTCAAAATCAGTCACCGGAACGGCTGCACCGCTGATGTGTGTCAAAATATCAGCCGCCCAATTTGCTCGATTGATGGTCAAAATCAGCCACTTATCAGCCCATTGGCTTGATATAAGCCACTTGGCGGCTTGCGTTCAGCCATTCTCGATCTTATAGTGTAGTGTCTGCAAACAATGGTAGCACCACCGCCCTGTCGCATAGGTGTAATCTGCTCCTCAGACTGAAGTTCGGCGTATGGGTGGGTTTGATGTCCACATTCTGTAGGATCAGCTCTACGTGCTATCAGTACTAAGGAATAGCTTGACTGAGAGTGCATCGCGCAGTGCCAACACAAGCCCTTCGTTGCTGTCGCGTGCGATTCCAGCCATGTATGCTGTGGATATTGTGGATATTGTAGCATGCTAGCGAGTGACATCTCTGAGATATGTCGTGCGAATGCTGGTACAGCCCCAAAACATAACGTGCAGGTGGCAGCCACATCAATCACCCGGTTGATGCCTCTCCATCGAGTTCGAACCACACACCCAACCATACACATCCATGTAACCGAGCTTCGTAGATGAAGCTACACCTGAGTGGCAAAGACGACATGAGGGTTAAGAGCAAGCAAACAAGGGTCCGGCGCGCGACGGTAACCCATCGCGCGACGACTCTGCATCTCCTAACCCCTGCGAGAGCAACGGCAGGTACCAAGACTTGAGAAATGCACCCAGTGCTCTATTATCGCATCCACATGTACTACGCACATATATCCACCAACCAAAGACATAGAAGGGAGCATACGACGATGGCAGCACGCACGCACGCAGGTAATAATCAACGAAACGAGGAAACGGACGAGAGGAGAGATGATGATGAGAGGGAGACGAGGCAAGAGGACGAGGGGGGATACTATGATATGCAGCAGAAAGGCCGGCCGTACGATATATATACACAGGGGCCGGTGAAGGGACTTTTGTATGCATATATTGTGTGTGGGATTGTCGTGTGGAGAATTCCGAGGAGATTCAGATATTGAGCAAGGATAAGCAAGCAAGCAAGCTAGCATCGATACGAGGGAGACTTGTAGATGGCAGTAATGGGAACGAGATGGAAAGAACCGGAGGGGAGGGAAAGCTCGAGCAGGAGGACCGATAAGACCATGTAGCGACCGTGCGCTTCTCAAACGAATGGGAAATCAAGAGGTGAAGGAAGGGGTGGGAAGCTCGAGCCGAGTGAGAGTGATGTGTGAAGGCCATTATAGATGGACGGAATGGTCGTAATCCTCAGAAATCCACGAATGAGAGTAAGGACTGTTATCGGCGCATATGCATCGCTCAGAGCTCGAGCGGCTCGTGCGAGCGCGCCTCGACACCGCGGCTGGGCGCCTGGCTCTCGCTCGCGATGACGCGGTCACGGCGTGTACCGAATCCACCGCTCGTTCCCGGCCCGCGCGGCTGGCGGAGCACACTCGGGCTCTCTGGTCCAGCGCCAGGACTGGACATGCCGGCGGGGATGGCAGGTACAGGCGGCACACCGAATCCACCGCCGGTTGAGAACAAGCCAGCGAACGACGCGGGCGAGCGGCGCGGAGGCGATGCGATGGTGTTGAAGCCCTCGCGCATATTTCCGTTCGAGAGGCGGGTGTTGAGCCGTGGAGCACCCGTCAGGTCGGTGGGGCGCTGCGCCTGGAGCGTCTTCATGTCCGGCATGCTCTTTTTCGCGCGGAGCGCCTGAGCGAGGCCCGTTGACGTCGGGGATGTGGCCGACAGGTAGGCGGCAGAGGGCGTGCGAGTGAGGCCGGGGTGACGCTGAGCCTGAGCGCGCTGTGGGACGAAAACAAAATGTCAGCAAACATACATCAGGGCCCCACATCTCGCAATGAAACGCTCATCACCTTCTCGGGATCAATGCGAGTCACGACGGCGTACCGGTCTTCGCCCTCGCCGACGGAGTAATGGTATACGCCGAGCTTCTGCGCGACGAGGTGCACGATGCGGCGCTGCTTGGGGCTGAGAGTGCGGCTGAAGGCGAGCTCGTCGCGCATCATGTCGTCCTTGAAGAGCAGGATGCGGCTGTAGATCTCGAGCGTCGCAGGGTCGTTCAGATCAAGTTCCGTCGCAGCACCGCCCTTGCTCGGTGCAGGGCTCAACGCAGGCGGCGGCGGGGCAGGCGCGATCGTCTGTTGTCCGTACGGCTGGGGCACAGGCATAGGTGGCACGGGGTCGAATTGCGCGTACGGGTTGTGGCCGGAGAAAGAGCGGTGGGGCGAGAAGGTCGGCGGGATGACGGTGCCGAAGTCGTCGTAAGGAGTGGCGGGGCCTTGCTGCTGGAGCAGATGCTGCTGCGTCGGCTGGCCAATGTCGACCTGGCCGCGCTCCATCTGCATCGAACGCATGCGGCGAATGGCCTTTTCGCGCTCGATACGCTCCTTCTCGCCGGCCTGGAGTACTTTCTTGTACTCCACCCGCAGCTTGCGGCCTTGCACGTCGAATCCATTGAGCGCGGCGACGACTGCATCCGCGTCACTCGACGCCCGGAAGTTGGCGAAGGCGAGGCCGCGGAAAGAGCCGCTCTGGTCGAGGTGGTAGTTGAAGGCGTACGGCGTCGGGATCGAAAGCGATGCCTGGGTAATGATAAGTCACATGCGATGGTAGCGAAGTGTAGAGACATACGATGATGTCGAGGAGAGTCTCGCGTTTGACGTTGAACGGAATGTTCTTGATGACGATCGCCGTGGGTATAATCTCGTCGTCGCCAATGGGCACGCCCGGCGAGGGCGACAGCATCGGGGGCTGCTGGATGCCGGCCAGCGGGGGCGAGCCGCCGCCAGAGGAGAGATCGGTGCTGCCGGGCGACATCGACCGCTGGTCGGTGTACGGATTCCCGGCAGAGTCCATCCACCCCTGATACAATATTTCTTTCAGTTGCATTCTATTTGTACTTATAACACATTCTCACAGTCGGCAGACCAGCACGAGAGGGCTTATTCTTGAGCGGGCTCTGGTTAACGCCGAGGTTGTTGTACGCGGACTGGGGCACGCCTGTGGCGGTCTGGAAGTGGTACTGGGGCCTGCCCGAGTCGTACTCGCCGGCGTCGCCGCGTGGGGTGCCGGAGATGGTCAGGTTGGCGATGTCCGGCGTCGAGGTCATGGCGTGACGGTTCGTGCGCGTGTCGTGGGTCGTGATGGAAGAAGGCAGCTCAGAGCAGCAAAGATGGTCGTCCGAATAAAACAACCCAGGCGGCAGGCCCCTTTTCCCGCTTTCGGTCACTCGGACGGCCTTGTTCCTTCACACGACTGCACTACATCATTATTTCACAAAATGTATATCCCGATACTACACAAACAGAAATAGTCTAGATCGCGGCCATCGTCGCGCACCGCGCTGGCTTTGGCAACTCGCCGACGACGATATCCCGGGCGATGCTCTCGCTGTGATTCCACGGCGCCCGAAGCCCCTCCCCCTTCTTTGACGACACTGAACTGGCTGAACTTAACGGGCTCGCACCAGGCGAGCTAGTCGTATTCGGCAGACTGGTCACGACGGCAACGGTAGGCGCCGGTGCAGGCGCCTTGGGAGCGAGTGCCGGGGCGCAGAATGCCATCGGCGGCATTGAGGGTAGCGAGAACTTTGGGGCGCCACGAGGAGGTAGCGGGCCCTCCTTGAGCAGTAAATGGCTGGGTGGTGGACGGCGAGGCATATCTAAGCCTTTAATCAGCATCCCCATATATCTATCTTACAGAGCACAACACGTACTGGGAGTATGGAATACGAAGAGAACAGGAAAAGGGTGGTGAATGAGCGTGGATGGATGGTGCAGTGCTGATTATATACGAGGCGGGCACAAAAGCCTTTGCAACGCTTTGTACAACCGCTCAGCGGGCTGTGGTTCTTGGACCGTGCTGCTCGTGGTGGCTTCGAGCTGCTCGTCGTTGATGGCGGGATCCAGCTCGCACAGGATCTCACACGGCCGGCGTCTATCGCTTGTACGGCGCCGTTGCCATGCACTCCATTCTCGCGCAGCAGATCGCGGGAGACGCGCGCTCCCTGCACCGGTCCATCATTCGCTTCCCGGCTCAGTCGATGAGAAATGCACTAAGAAATTTATGTATGCTCTGCTAGTTGTACGGATACGGTTTGGTACGGATAAGATAATACTGCGAATGGAACTGCAACGAATGGGACTCGGACGAGCAAGGACGAAAGCAAAGGCAAAGAACGACCGAAATTGAGACCAAAATAACATCGACACCACCACTCGGCTTCTACTCATCGCCCGTCGTAGCACTCGAATCCCTCCTCCTTCCCGACCTCCTAACCCTCTTATCCTCAATCGACGACTGGGGCGTAGGCAAATGAATAGCAGGCGGAGGGGGCTGCGCGCGCAGATCGCTTAGGCGTGGCAACCTGATCTTCAGTGATGAGCTCGGCGTCGTCTGTACCGCACCGGCCCCGTTGGTCCCGTTCGACGTGGGGGTGGCGGGTGTGGGGGTGGTAGGGGCGCCGGATGTGAGGGGTCGGGGTGACATGCGTGAGCGGGCGGCTTGGCGGGGACGGGTGCTTGCGCGTTTGGGCTTGGAATGCGCAGATCCTGAGTTGTCGTCTTCTTCGAGCGGAGGAATGGTCTGCGCGAGCATGCACATGTGAGCCTTTATAAGCGTGAAATAGCGCTGACAGAGAAAGAACGTACGTAGGTGACCTGGCTCTTCGAAGCCCTCCCAGGCTGCCTCCTGCTCGCTTCAGGTGGAGGAGCCGAATTCGTCGCGGGCGGAGGAGTTGGTGTGAGCAACGCGGCGGATATAGACTGTCCTACAGGTGCCACGGAAGACGATATGGACTGTCCAACAGGTGCCGCCTTTGACTTTGCGGTCTTCTTCTCCGCCTTTTTCTTGGGCGCTTTGGAGGATGTCGAAGTTTGTGGATGCTGGGTGGTGGGAGGGGTGCTGGCGGGTGTGAACGTGAATGGCTGAGGCTCGACTTTGATGCGGATTGAGCGGCTGGGCGCTTGTTGGGTTGGTGTAGGGTGCTGGGCGCGCTGTTCTTGTTGAAAGTCGAGCAGTAGCTGTAGACAGAGGGTCAATACCATATCATGAACGCGGAAAGCACACTATACGAACCAAGGCACCGCGAAGATCGTCTGCATTCCACGTCGCCAGCTCATCCCGCGAGAACGTCGTGCTAGGAGCCGTAGACGGCGGCATAGAAGCCGAAACCGACGCGTAAGTCGACGGCGGCATCTCGACATCGCCATCATCCTCAAGCTCGCTGAGCGACGTCAACGAAGACGCCTCACTCAGCACCGGCGATACACTGAACATTCTGAGTTAGCTCCTTCGGGTAATCAGACTAGTGCATACAACGACGTACGGTGCCGCCGGCTGGACGTTGTTAAGCTTGTTCCAGAAGTCGAGCTTGATGATGCGTTCGGGTATACGATATCGTTTGCCGTTGATCCACACCTCGTCCGTATGTACGCGGTCCGCGATTGTCGAGTCGTCCTCCAGAATCTCGATGTTACCGTTATTGATCTGGCCGGGTCGGGTGATCTCAACGGGCGCAGCATTGTGCTTCGGTATCCGCGGCTTGATCTTCTGCTCGGCCATATCAGCACTCCGCACGAGGGAAACGACAAGACGGGTTATAGGGAAGGAAGGGAAGACGTACGATGGTGCGCTCGATATGGTTCGGGCACATCCACTTCTTGTCGAGCGGCGGCATGAGCGCCATAGGCGGATCAAGGCAATCCAAATGCCAATGCGACGAGCAATAGTCGCACGTCACGATGCTCCGCCACTCCCCCTCACCCGGGAGCGACGGAGAATGCGAATGCGACGAATGACCGGCTGCGCTGCGTCGAGGGCGCTTGGGAGCGCTCGGCCCCGCTAGGGCGGGTGGAGGCGAGGGACCGTGGAATGCCGAGGTGCCGCATCGGAAACAGAGGACTGCCGCGCCGGTTCTGTCTTTTGTGCGGTAGGGATCGCGGTCTTCGAGCTGTCCGAGGCGGCTGCAAGAGATGTCAGTCTGCGGAGGAAGGGGAGGAGGGAGGGGGAAGGAGAAGACGCACTTTAAGCGAGGAGGCTTCAATGTTGACGTATCAACGTAGCCGCCCCTCGGGTTCGAGCCGACTGATGACGATGCCGTGTGAGCTAGCGTTACCGAGAGAAAATTGAGCGAAAGCCGTACCATTCTTGAAATACGTGCGGACGTCGTCCGGGAGTTGGAATTCGGCGGGTGGCATTGCCTGTAGCTGCTGTATGAGCGGGCTGAGGAACGACGGGGGAGGTTTGGGGCGCGGGTTCTGCATAGCGAACGAGTGTCAGCGGCGGGAAGGGATGGGAGAGGACATCGATAAGGCGGGCGCGGGCGATTTACCTTGGCTAGGTTGCACGTTGGGCAGAACCACCTGTTCTCGCCTTCGGGGAGGTCCGTGGCTTCCATCGGTGGGTCGAGGCACCACAAATGGTAGGCGCGCGTGCATCCGTCGCAGTAAACGAGGGAGCCGAACGATCTGCACGCCGAGCAGTGGTCCTGGTTGCGCTGGGACTGGTTGGTGGGTGTGTCAGCGGCGTGGGCGAGCAGAAGGGCGAAGAAGAGGGCGCGCACCTGCGATGTCGAGGGTCCATCTGCCGGCGGAAGAACGCCGGCGCCCGTCTCCTCCTTCACCCTGATATCCCCCGCGTCCTCCCGCTCCCGCTCCTTCCCCTTCCCCAGTCCCTTTCTCCACCCGCGCCCTGGACCCTTCGCCGGCGGGGGAGCGGGTGCGGGCGCAGGGGGTGGCGCCACGTCGGGAGGGGGGACGGTCGTTGCACGCGAGGCGGGCATGGTGTCGGCCTCTGGGACCATGAGGGCGTCTGAGTCGAGGGTGATGTCGGGGATGGTGTCGAGCGTGGTGTCTGCCATGACGACGTCGTCCATGATGGCGGCGGACTCGAGAGTTGATGGTGTGCGGTTGAGCGGGCCTCGGAGCGAGCCGCGCGAGACCAAGCCTCCCCTGTAAACCAACGCCCCGGCGTCAGCGACCACAGCCCGAGTTCATACCAAGAGTCCGACACGATATGTCGTTCTGTGAAAAACAGAAAAGGACGCACTCTTTCACGACACGGGCGCGCTTGTGTCTGCGGCCATCGGGCTCTGCGAGACCGCCCGCGAGGCTGGAGGCCGGCGCAGGCGTCACCCCAAACGGACTCGAGTACGTCGTACCGGGATCATGTGAAGGCAAATACGAAATAATAGGCGCAGGCTTTCTGGGATCTCTTTTCACGGCCACAGGGTTCTCGACGCTCGACACAGATGGGGGCGCTGGCAGAATCTCCGTAGCCAGCGTGAGGTCCACTCCAGAGTCTGCACCCGAAACCGCCTTGGGCTGCGGCAGAGGCGGCGCGCCAGGAAGAGCGTACGCAGCGGGCACGTTAGTGGGGCTGGCCGACAGAGTCGTCGCCATGGGCCCAGAGAGCAGACGAGAGCAGATGACGGTCGACGGTGAAGACCGAGTGGTCGACAGGAGCGCGCTCTCTCTCGCCGCGCAGCCCAACCACCGGCGTTCGTTTCCGCGCCTCCATGGCCATTCACTTCTCTCATCGCGCTCTCATAGACATCATCGTACATTGTACAGTATGTGTATGCAGTATAGGACAGGCGTGCAATAAAGTATCCGAAAAAACCCTCAGCCCTTCTTCAGATCCAGCAGCCTTGGAAAACCCGTCAGCCAATCGCGACCCTGGCAATAAAGAAAGGCAAGAGCGCTCACCATTCCGGCTCGACCTCCGTCAATATCGATATCTGTATCTTTGTGGTCTCCTCCATCTCGTGAAACACGACCCAGCCTGTCCGCGGCTTGCGCGTGAAGAGCACAGAGTTGGGGTGGACGTGCAGCGTCTCGTCGCCTTGGATCGAGCGGTAAGTGCCGTCTGCCATCCACCGGGCTCCGTTTCGCCGGTAGGCGGTGACGAGGCATTGGCGGAGGCGCTTGGCGTCCCCTTCGCATGACTCCATTTTCAGGTTGAAGCGCTGCATGTACTTTTTGAGTTGGGCGCGGATGGAGACTGCGCGGGACATGGCCCGGAACGACAGGGCGTGCGACTTGCACCACGACGATGCTTTGCCGTAGCGCACGAAGGCGTTGTACGCGTTGAGTAGCGTAAGATGGTCCTGCGTATCTATCAGTACTGCATCTGTGCTTACGACGAAGAGGTACTCACGCCCTCCTCGGCGATGAACTTCCGGCGCTCAAGCTCAGCCTGAGCTCCAGGCGCCCCTCCAGGTATGATGAATACATCCTGGACTGCCGTCATAGCCGCAATCGTCAAGATCTCCTCCCCACAGCGGAACTCTTCGCTTCGGAACAGCATGCACGCCAGCCGGACCTCCATCGGCACTTCCGCGACCTTCGTGCCCAGCGTCGTAAGGCGTCCGTCCTTCCCCACCACACCGTCCGCGATGAGCGCGCTCAAGCATCGCACGATCGTTTCGCTTGGTGGTTGGGTTAGCCACTCTAGCTTCATTAGGTTGTCGATGCCGAGAGCTTTGAGTTGCACAATGGGCGCTGTGAGTTCCGTGCGGAGGATCTCGGGTGCGGTTGTGTGAGGGAGCGATTCAAAGGCTGAGCGCGTATACAGCCGATAGCAGATACCCGGTGCGGTACGTCCTGCGCGACCGGCGCGTTGTGTCGCTGATGCTTGGGACGTAGGTGCGATGACCAGGGAGGAGAGACCAGTGCGCGGGTTGTACGTTCGCATCTGTGAACGCGTCAGGAAGCCGCCCAACAGAAGCTCTATAAGTAACATACCTTCACAAAACCACTGTCTATCACATAGCGAATCCCATCGATAGTCACACTAGCCTGGTCGTCAATGTGAGTATGTTGCACGCGTAGAGTAATTTGGCGCGCGTACCTCAGCTACATTGGTCGCAATCACGACTTTCCGATATCCGCGCGCTGTCGTCTCGAAGACTTGTAACTGTTCTGCACTCGTAAGGCCGGCGTATAGAGGTAGAGGCACGAGCGTCTGCAGGTGCTTGGGCAGTCTGACCCAGTTTGAGCACGTGCACAAAGGATTTGGGCATTGGGACTTACGTAGCGATCATATCGCCTAGATATTCGATGCAGTTTTCGATCTCTTCTCGTCCCGTGAGGAAGATGAGGATGTCGCCAGGCGGGGACTATGCGTCGTAGTCAACGTCGGCATTTCATACGTGAACCGCTTAACACCTACCTTTGAGTGAATGCCAATGACGGTCTCCGCCGCTTTCCTCACGTAGTCCGAGGCGGGCTCTTCGAGGTATGCAACTTCAATAGGATACATTCGACCTTCAAGACTGATCACGGTCGCGGCGTCGGGACCCATGTTGCCTCGGAAGAATTCGAGAAAGGAGATGGCGTCGAGTGTAGCAGAGGATACGACTATACGAAGGGACGGTCGTTGTTTACAAATTCTGTTGTCCATACGAGTAAGTACGAGTATCGAAGGGTGGGCTTGGTGAGACGCACTTCTTTAGAACTGCAAGCAGTAGATCGGTGTAAACACTGCGCTCATGGGCTTCGTCAATCTGCATGGGATGTTAAGCGCGTTTGGGGCACATAGCGACACACAAGCTCTTACCATGATCACGCTGTAGCGGCTTAACAACGGGTCGACTAGTGTTTCCCGAAACAGAACACCGTCTGTCAGATAGCATATGCGTGTTCTTTCCTTATTGCTGACATCTTCGAAGCGTATCGTATATCCAACCTGTTCACAGTCATGTATGAGCATCGAGTTGAACAGAGCGACCAAGATAGCCTCGCACCTCGTCTCCTAGTTGCGTCCCGACTTCAGTGGCTGTTCTTGCAGCGACGGAAGTTACAGCGACCCGGCGCGGCTGTGTACACGCGACGAGGTTCCCATTTGCTGACCAGCCTGCTTCATGTAGGTACTGCGGTATCTCTGGACCAAAAGATACTCAGATACGCGGCCTCAAGTAGAAGGGATATAAACGCACGCGTAGTTTTGCCCGACCCAGTCTCGCCAACAACCACAGTGACCTGATACTTCTCAATACAATGCAATATTTTATCCTCTGCCACAGAGTAGATCAATAATGCGCTCCGGACTCGATGGGAGAGGGGTAGACGGACGGACTATGCTTGAATATAGGCAGTCGTTCGCGCTGCGCTTGGATGCTCAGGTATCCCGTTGAAGGGGCCGAGGGAACGATGTCGCCGTCGTTGGCAGAGACGCGATCGAGAGTGCTTCCCGGGCCTAGGGTGCCGGGTTTCCAGAACTGGAGAGACATTGGGTGGGATGGTGGTGGGCGCGTTGGTCGAAGCCCGAGTCGTGTTCGCTACGCCGCGCGAGAAGTCTTGTGGGTGTGTGGGTGCTTGACGTCACGCGCGCTAATGTACCTGTCCGTCTCATGGTTGTCTTCGACCGCCATCGTCCACGGGGCGACGATGCTCAAATTCTCGATTTGTGATATGTTGCTACACCTCATACTGTCGAGATTGGAGACTCGAGAGGACACGGCCACCAGATGAAGTCCAGCTGCGCACGCCTGCCGCCATCGTCAATACCGTGTCGATTCCGAAGGACCCGCCCACGCTCTCTACTCGTGCCGTCATTGGACCCAGACAAGTAACAGTGCTCTGCCGATCTGGCCGAGGCTCTTCTTGCTGCGTACTCTCCGCATGCTCTATCGACCTTATTCCTCTTCCCGGTCAAAACTAGACGCCCTCTTCCAATCGTCGCGCTCGTAGCGGAGACCTCGACACTTCGCAAGTCACCTTGCCTAGAGATCTTGCTCATTGCACCTTTCCGTTGACCTTCGTGTCTCATTCTCGCTGTGGTGCGGCTCATGGTGCTCCGTAACGATAGTCTTTGGTCACGCCCGATAGACTTCATAGATCTTGCTTGTAGCATGAAATGTTGTAGCCTAATGACGCCCCAAACCTGGCATCTCTCAAGCTCGACGCGCCTGCTCGACAAGAAGGCCTCTCATAGGTCTACGTGATACTATACGGAGCATGGTCTCCGACACATTGCAGTCTAGTCCGCTTGTGGGTGTCATTGCGAGCGATGCGGCGCAGACCCTAGGTCTGGATGTGGTGTTGGTACGCAGCCAAATCGCCTCCCATTCAGTGCATCTACTAATCTCGCTTACCCAGGACTGCAGAGAAGTGCATGTGCGGCACCGTATCTATGCCTTCCTCGGCCCATGTACCGGCAGGATGAAGGAATCTATGGACCATTTGAGAACGGGGTCAGGTTGAGATCAAGAAGGAACCGCGCCCCTCGTATTCGTCCCTCTTCATACCGTTACGGGTTACCCAAGTCCGAGAATAACGTGTCTCATGCACGGGTTTTCTTCTTGTATACGTACCCTCCTGTACAGAAACCTTTGAGCATCCAATACCGATCACCTTAGTCTTTGTCGTTATCACGGTGAAACGCATTCATCTCGCTTACCGCTGTGCATGCCTCGCATTCGTACGAGTGCGTGGCCCAGCCACAGGAACTGAGAGATCCACTGTGATGCGGCACCTTGCAAGCGCCTTCGTCATTTCAACGTGAGCTTTGTGCTTGTGGTCCTGGCACACTCGAGAAAGTATGTTTTCATAGTTCAACACGCAGGTGGAGGAAGGTTACGTAGTGAGCAAGCAATATGTCTCGAAGTAGTCAGATCCGGTACTACCTGCCAAATTTGGGTATGATATCGTCAAGCGCGATCATCCTCGCGTGAAACGCGTTTGTGAACGCGCGAGTGGCGGCCGCGACGACTTGCCCCGAGCCACCATCACTCTGCCAATCCGCGTTCCTACGTGTCTTCCTCACATACGACTTTATGGACCGTCCAGCACATCCAGGGATGATCCCTGTGGATATTCTTCACCGCATATTCTCGCTTGTTCAGGTTCTGGACCCGATTCCCCACCCGGGCCCCAACTGGCGTCCTAAACTACCTCTCGAGAGCCAGAGAAATCCCATCGAAAGACACCAAGGCAGAAGACCTTTCATCACTATGCCCGTCAATACAGGTGCGGTGAGCGCCAATGTCGGAACCCGACTTGCGTGGATCCGCCTGACGCACGTATGTCGCCGCTGGCGTCTCGTAGCGATCGAACAACGTGGTCTCTGGACGCGTCCTACACTTTATCTGGGCTTGGACTGGTTCTGGAGTATGGTGGAGCGTAGTCGCCTGGCGCCTTTGGCTATCTCAAGCCGCGAATGTGGCTGCGAAGTACTGAATATGCACATTCGTGAAGAAGCGATACTAATTGTTACCAACCTGATCCGGAGCCATCCCGAACGCCTCAGAGATCTCCGATTTGGGAGTCCGGAAGGACTTCTCCTCCTCGACGTGCCCTGTGTCGCCCTGAAGACCTTCGAACTGCATATTCCGCCTGGCAGTAGGTGGAGTAGTGGCCACTCAAAGTTCTCTCTGGGACCGGTGAACCTCTTCGCCACTTGTGCACCCTGTCTGCGCTCTTTGCATCTCGATACGCGACTCATGAAGTATGATCAACTGCCAAAGAATTCTCCATTGTGGGCCTCGTTAGAACATCTTCATCTCAAGCTGTCTGGTGCTCTTTCCTTCACCTTACCCATTCTGCGCCAATCGACCTCTCTGCGCTCCCTCTCTCTCCATGCTCATTGTGGGAGTGCGCACCCGCAGGGCGATGAGCCTGACTTGATTTGTGAGGCATGCGCAAGTACTGGGTTCAATCCCATCACCCTATCCTTTCTTGACGGTCTGACGCTCAGAGGTTGCATAGCAACAATTGCACACATCCTGAGTCACTTACGTGGCCATCTTCCTGCGAAGACGCGTATATACTCAGAAAGCTCTGCAGACGCAGAAGCTCTTGCCCTCCCTCGACTCATCCGCCTGCTCGATTGGAATGATGGACGCGCACAATCGGCCCGGGCCGTTGCCATAATCGGAACCGGCCGGATCCTCTTGTGCACTTCGCCATCCGAAATGGCCCTACTCTGCCATCATCCTCAGTTAGGGCGAGACAAAGTCATCCACAATGATGCAGATGTTGAATTCTGTATATCCCTCCACCACGATGCATTGCGTGCTTTCATCCCGGCCCTATCGTCCACGAGAATATTGACGATCGCTCGTTTGGCAACTGGTGTTCTGCGATCTATGTTCACTAGGGACGACTTCGAGTCTTTCACCTCCCTCCGCCATCTGACCATAACCGGAGCGGAACTCAATGCTAGTCTACCCATGTTCGCGATGCCGACTACACAGCCACCTTCGCCTGTGCTGTTCCCATCCTTGACGACCCTCAGTATAGGTGGAAATACTATGTGGAGTCTTATCCAAGCGCTTCCTAACACACAACCTCCGCAAACACTTGCCAGTTGCATCGCGTCTATGCTCGTGGAGCGTCAGCGAACAGGGACGCGATCAAACCCGCGTGTGTTCCTTCACGCTGCGGAGGAGCTCACAAATATTGACGCCGAGAAGTGGGAGCTCACGAGTTGCAGTAGGCATCTACGCAATGCAGGCAAGGTTGTACGGGAGAGACTGCGACCGCTTCGGGACGTTCCCGGCGGGATGGAGGTTCTACCGTACTACGCAGTTGTGATACTAGACCCTGACGAGCAGAAGAGAGTGATTGTGAATGACGGTGTACAGACACAGCTTGTATGAGTATGTGGTTCAGGATATACTAGATTGCTCGCATATAGAACTGCATATTGAACGTGTGACTTATGTGGGCGAACAAAGGACACAAGCTCTTTGAGTCCGGAGGCCTTTACAGATAGCGTTGTCATGACGATCGAAGGTCGATATAATCATAATGACACGTACGTGGCGTGGCCCAAATCTCATCTTGTCTTCGACCTCCATCACTCTCCCTCTTGCGCGTCCCACCCGACATAGTACTGCATCGTTCATGGATCGAACAGAGGCTCTGCCCACCGATCTATTCTATCGTATATTTCTGCTCGTTCAGAGTCTTGAGCCTATCCCTTACCCTGGCCCTCGTTGGATCCCCAATTTGCCGATCGATGTCTGCGAACACGAGAAAGAGAGTATACGTCGGTACTCCATATTGGAAACTCCCGAGATCAGTGCCGATCGTAGGCTTGCCTGGATCAGATTGACGCACGTCTCTCGACGATGGCGTGCCGTCGCGCTCGAACACCGCGGTCTCTGGGCATCTCCTACGCTCTACCTCGGGTTGAAGTGGTATCAGTGCTTCCTCGATCGCAGCGACGGCGCTGCCTTGTCACTCTCTGGACGTGAATATGGACTCGAAGCCCCGCACGAATACACGCGTTCTTATGCGGTGCAGATGATCTCGCGCCTCGTCAAAGCACATCCCGAGCGCATCCGAAGCCTCCGCTTCACAACTACCAGCGGAGTGCAGTTCTTTCAGATGCCACTCGATGAACTCAGATCCTTTGAGATACGGGTACGCTCCGCAGGCGATCCGACGGGCATCGAGACCCCTGTACCCCTTGGAACTCTCAGCCCCTTCAATGGTCAAGCACCCGGCTTGCGCTCATTGCATCTGACGATGAAAGGGATGAGATACGAGCAGCTGCCAAAGAACTCTCCGATATGGACTCGACTGGAGCATCTACATCTGGCATTATCGGGCTCTCTACCCTCAATTCTACCCATCATCCGGCGATCAAATTCCTTGCGCTCGTTATACCTGCATGCCCAGTGCGGAATGCCGCATTACTACACGGAACCATCAGCGACTTGCGGAGCTTGCCTCAAACCGGGCTTTAACCCGATCTCGATAGCGACCCTTGGACGCATGGTGCTTCACGGGTGTATACGAGACCTCGCCCACGTTCTCAACCACTTCCGCTGCCATCCCAGCATGAACATACAGATCCACTCCGAGAGCTCTGAATCTTCGGAAGCGACTGTTTTGTCTGAGATCCTCCAAGCGGTGAACTTTGCCGACATACGAGCTCCGTCAGCGCGCGCCGTGGCTCTTATCGGGGAGGGACGTCTCCAGTTGTGCACGGCTTCGGACGAGACGGCGCTTCTGGCATACCATCCGAAAAGCACCACAGACGTGATCCGCAACGACTCTGCCGTCGAGCTAAGTCTGGAGCTCCATTATAAGCACATCCGCTCCCTGGTCTCGCGCCTCTCCGGCGCAAGGATCTTGACAATCGCTCGACCGATGAACTCTTCATGCGCGAATGGGACCCCGAACTGGGGCTTCTCGCGCGAGGACTTTGCCTCGTTCACCTCGCTACGGCATCTTACCATCGCTGGTGGGGACATCAATGCAAACCTCCCCTTGCTCGGTATGGACCAAGACAGCGACCCCTCGACGATTCTCTTCCCATCCCTCGAAACTCTAAGCATCGGCGGATGCACCGTGTGGAGCCTCATATCTGCATTGCCCAATCACCAACCGATGCAAACGATTGCGATTTGGCTCCACCAGATCCTGAGATCGCGCAACGACATTGGGAAACGGCCCGTATCGAAATTGTACCTTCATATCTCCGAGGAGCTGGTGTACATAAACGCTGAGAGATGGGAGCTTACGAGCTGTAGTAAGTATTTGCAGGACGTGAAGAAGGTTGTGAACGAGAGGCTGAAGGCGATGCAAACAATCCCGGGGCGCAGGTTGTTAGCTTATGATACGGTGGTCTTGCTGAAGGGTAACCAGTCACAGAGAATGTTCGTACGAAGGGGTGAGTGAGGCTTTGGCAATGCGAACCATGTATACTATGACTTCTTGGCTATCAACGGTTCTTGATGAACGTCACGCGGGATGAGAAACAGAATTGGGATCGTGAAGATGCAATTGAGTCAAGATGCGTATGCGAGGGACAACAGGATTGAATACAGATATGTCAGAGCAGTAAAACGGGAAATCCAAGGGAGCGTCGCTGCGAGTCGCCGTGGGGTAAAAATCACTCATGCAGCCAAGCGTGATATAACGGCGTGGCGACTAGGCATCGTCCGATACAGGACGGTAGTGGCGCATCAGCTGCGCCTTGAAAGCATCGGGCTGGTTCCATATCTTGGCCGCGTCGACATTGAGGGGGGACTGGTTATTCGGTTCTGAGCGGGTTTGTGAGGACACGGGTGGACAGAGCGCAAAATTACGGCTTACCGCCCAGCAACGATTGCAATGAGATCAAAATTGTCTGCACGCTGTACACCGCGCTCCACTTGTCCTACACAACCGCATCAGCATCTTCGCACATACACATATCAAGATGTCCAGCTCACCTGCAGAATGTCCAAACAGATCGCACCCGAGCCGATGTCGACGTTCGGGTGGTAGCAAGGGGTGTCAAACGCGATCTTTGGTGGTACGTAGGGGTAGTTGGGTGGGAAGTTGATCGTAATTTTGAAGGTGAGCCCGTCGTAGTACTACGTGAATGAGTTAGCTATGAGAGGAAAGCGAATGAGGGTGAGGAACGTACAGTGCCTGCGGCTCCTTCAATCGTGCCTATCCATACGAAGAGGTTTCCGTCGTTCTTAGGGAATGCTGACTGATGTAGAGGTGAGTATCAGCTAGTAAGTGTGGATAAAGGTGGCGTACGATCCCGGGAGACGCGGACATCTAAGGCGTGGTTGAGTCAAGTAGAGAACATACACGTATAATATAACTCATACCATCAAGCTCATGAGTTCGCTACTCAACCTGAGCGGACGTGAGTACCCAAGCGTCAACGAGTGTCTAGTTGCAAACGCACCGCTTCGTGACACTGGCCTGGCTGGTGTCTTGTCCACCGCCGGACGACGCATTCTTGGGATTAGCAGCACGAGGTGGTGCGAGGGAAGCAGAAAATTGGTCCATTGTGCGGGCGAGGGCAAAGTGCTCGTGTGCGGGGAGGTGATGGTTCGGCGCAACCTGCAACACGGCGCGCGGCTAATTCTGAGATTACCCTCAACATACACGTGACCGCGCGTCCGGCTTCTCGGACCGACCCACATCTGAGTTTCTTTCTCCTTGGGTAGCTTCGCACATAGAAGCACTGAAGAGATGAATGGATGTCGAGGTGTGAGAGTGCACTAGGTCGTATTGCCTGTATGTGGGCAGCCAGGGATACGAGCTTTTCCGGAAGAGGGCCGAAAGTGACTGACGAGTCGTCACACGTTGCCTGACATCACGGCCGGAGCGCGGGGCCGGGAACCAACGGACGCTACCGCTCACCATCACCCCCGACGAGCTCACTCATCCTGGACCGACCATGGGGGACCGCATCACGCTGAGCAGCGCGGAGACCGCCCTGGTCGAGCAGATATTTGCGAAGAACGACCCGCAGAGTTTTGGCGTCATCACTGGCGACGTCGCCGTCAACGTCTTTGGCGGCTCGAAGCTGCCCTCGACCGTGCTGGGCGAGATCTGGGCGCTGGCCGACAACGACAACAAGGGTTTCCTCGATAAGCAGGGCGTCGCTGTGGCTATCAGGCTTATTGGTCACGCCCAGGCTGGCCGTGCAGTCTCAGAGGCACTTCTCAAGCAGCGTACGTTCATCCCAACATTCTTGATGCGCGATGACGAATGCCGACAAATATTGCAGCCGGCCCACCCGCGGCTATCGAAGGATATGCGGCGCCGCCGGCAGCTGCGCGCTCGCCGCCTCCCAAGCCGCCGGCACGCGCGCCCGGCCTGCCTCAGCTCACTCCTCAGGACAAGGCCAAGTTCGCTCGCCTCTTCCAGGGCTGTGGACCTCAGAGTGGCTTGCTGTCTGGTACGTATACCTTATAGCGTCGTTTACCACAATATTCACTGTCACATAGGCGACAAGGCTCGCGACGTATTCGTCAAGTCGAAGTTGCCGGTGGACAAGCTCAGCGCGATCTGGAATCTGTCCGATACCAAGGGCCGAGGTGCACTCGACCAGACAGACTTTACGATCGCGATGTACATGATCCAAGCTCTCATGTCTGGCTCTCTCTCCTTCGTGCCTACAACTCTCCCCCCTGGTCTGTACGAACAGGCGTCGCCCGAGGGTGTTGTTTCACACTCTACCGGCGGCAGCTTCACCCGTCCTTCCACTCTCGCACCGCAGCACACCGGACCCATTGCGACACACAGCACCGGCGTAGGTGCGCGTCCACCTCCGCCTGCTGTTCCGCCCCGCGCGCAAAGCCAATTTATACCCGCCTTCCCCGGAGTGCCGCAACAGCAAGCGGACACACGACCGTGGGATGTTACTCCGCAAGAGAAGGCGAACGCGGACAAGTTCTTTGATACGCTTGACACTGCGAAAAGGGGGTACATCGACGGTGACACGGCCGTACCTTTCCTTCTGCAATCGAAGCTGTCAGGCGACCAGCTCGCACAAGTTTGGTATGTACTGCACACGACGTTATATGTGCAAATATCTAACTTTGTTAAAGGGATCTCGCCGATTTGAACAATGATGGACGTCTTACTCGTGAGGGCTTTGCCGTCGCGATGCACCTCATTCAGAGCAAGCTCGCTGGAAATGACCTTCCCGCTACGTTGCCTGCGACACTCGTCCCGCCTTCCATGCGCGCCGCACACAGCTCGCAGCCGCAGCAACAACAGCCACTTGCACCCGTACACGAACTGTCCGACCTCCTGTTCGGCGATGATGAACCTCCCGCCTCAAAGTCCATCGTCCCGCAGTCGACAGGCACTCCGCTGCAACCGCAGGGCACGGGTAGCTACACCGGAGGCGTGCTTCAGCCGCAGAATACGGGTCAGTTCCGTGGACCGCTTCAGCCGCAGAGCACTGGCGCGCGCTCGCCTCCGCCGCAACAGACGAGCACCCCACTCGCTCATCAGACCACTGGCGGTGCTTTTGGTACCCCGCAGCAGCCTCAGGGATATGGCTCTCCCGCGCCCATCAGTCAACAGGGAACTGGAGTGTTCAGCTCGAGCTTCTCTCCGAGCCCATTCGTCATCCAGCAACCCCCGCAACAGCAGCAGGATCCTTTCGGGGGCGCAGGTGCAGGTCAAGAACGGGATCTGCTTGACGACGACGAGCCGCAAGCCGCAGCGTCTGCCCCCGCACCTCACGAGGACAAGAGCGCCGAGATTGGAAACGCGCAGAACCAGCTGAACAGCACGAATCGTTCACTGGAGATCACTAAGTCGGAGCGCGGAGATGTCGAGTCGAGGCTTGCGGAACAGGCGGCTCAGCTCTCTGCTCTGCAATCGCAGCTCGCCGCGGCAAAGGCCTCGTACGAGACTGAGACGAAGGTCCTGGCTGCGCTGCGCGAGCGTTTCAGCAATCAGACGGCTGAGATTGCGGAGGTCCGTCGTGCGCTGATTACCGCGGAGAGCGAGCTCAGCGCCGCACGCGTGGAGAAAGCCGAGGTCGAGCAGGGCGTATTGCGCGACAAGGAAGAAGTGCGAGAGCTACAGCGCAAGATGGCGGAGACGGGTGCGGCGGTGGAGGCTACGAAGGCCGAGACGGAGAAGTTCAAGAAGGAGGCCAAGCAGCAACGCGGATTGCTTGCGATCGCGAAGAAGCAGTTGGCAACACGCGAGGCGGAGCGCGCTCGTGCTGCTGAAGAACTTGCGGCAGCACAGGTCGACGCGAAGGATGCGGCTCGCGAACGCACCGAAGCTGAGACAGAGCTCGCAACCGAACCCGTGGCGCCGGTTCCTGTCGTCGCGAACGGGCACTCCCATCCCGCACCACCCGAGCGCGCGGACAGCGCCGCCTTTGCGGCAGCGATGCCTCTTCCCGGAACACCCAGCAGCATTGGCAGTCCCGCAAGCACGATCAGCCGGAACCCCTTCGACCGTCTCACTGCGCAACCCACTGGTGGCAGTCTTGCCCCGCAACACACTGGTACTGGAAGTCCGCCGCGCACCGAGTCGCCGTTCTTGCCGTTCACGACTGGGTCGCTCCCGACATCGCCACCTGCTGCTGCTCCCGCCGCGACGAGTGCAGACCCCTTCGGTTTTGAGCAGGCATTCAACCCGGCGCAGCCGATCGAAACGAATCTCGCTCAGCCTGCTACGACTACTATGGAACCGCCCTCTGAAACTGTCGCGATGCCTGGTGCTCTCTCGCCGCCGTCCGTTAGCAAGGATCTTGCCGAACCTGTCCAAGAGCCCGAGACTACGGATAAGCCAACGACGGATGCGCCCGCTAGACAAGACGTCACTGCACCCCCGCCTCAGGCTGATGTGCTCACTTCGCCCACAAGCGAGGGCGGGGACCTGTTCAGCACACCGCCTACCAAGCCTACGGACGGGTCGCGCTTAAGCACATTCGACGACGCTTTTGGCGGACTTCCTCCGTCGGATGGACCTGTACCTCACTTCCCTCCCATCGACTCAAACGGCGATATCGCGCGCGAGCCGCCGAAGCCCCACGCTAACACGGACGAGCCGCTCGATACTACCACGAGCACCGACCTGGGCGCAAATCTCAAGGAGCTAGATGTGGATGAGAGCGATAGCAGCGACGATGAGGATAACAGGCCTCTCAGCACGATCCTGGCTGCCAAGAAGCCCGAAGCTGCTGCTACGAACACGAATGGGCCAGCACCGCAGATCTCGTTCGATGACGCGTTTGGACAGCCGTTCAGTCCTCCCGCTCCCGCCGCTGGTTCGCCGTTCGATCAGCCACCCGTTGCAGCTTCGCCGTTCGAATCCGCGGCTGCGACGTCGAGCTTCGAGGCGGCGCCTACACAGGACACGAGCACTGCTGCGTTCGATGACGCCTTCGGTGCCACTGCGCCTCCCAAGAGCCCCGACGCCGGCAAGAATGCGTTTGACGAGGCGCTCGGGAAGCTTCCCTCTTCCGAGTCTGCTCAACCGAGCTTCGGGTTCGACAACGGTTTCGAAGACAGCTTCGATTTCGGATCGGCGGCGACGGCGACGGCGCCTGTTGAAACTGCCGCACCCGCACCGGCGAGCACAGACGCGGGGGCGGGATCGGGTTTCTTCCCGCCTCCGCCCAACGGACACGCGCGTCATTCGATGCTTCCCCCGCAGGCTGATCACTCGCATGCGGCGCCTACCAACAACGGCAGCACGTTCGACAGCGTGTTCGCTCCGGCGTCGGAAGCACCGAAACCAAACCCCTTCGCGCCCGCGCCTTCGGCTTGGACGCCTATGGCTGCGGCTGCACCTGTCGAGGAGCATGCACCGGCCGCAAAGCCGGAGATTTCACAGAGCGACAGCCAGCGTCTGGGTATCTCATTCGACGATGCGTTCGGAGGACAGACCGCGAGTCAGGCATTGAACCTCGATCAGTTCGGATCGACGAGCTCGCGCTCGACCGCTGCGACGAATGCGACTGCCACGTCTACTGCCACGGCTCCGCAGGAGTTCCCGAGGGCAACCAGCCCGCGGCGGAGCGATACGCGGGATAGCGTCAGTATTGCAAGTCCGCCAAGGGCGGGAACCGCCAGTCCTCCGCCTCGCGTGAGCAGCCCGAGCGGGCGCCCTCGGCCGAGTACGGCGAGCAGCAAAGAGGATGGGCTGAAGCCTGACAAGGGGAAGGAGCCGAGGCACTCGAAATTGAGCGTACGTATCCCTTTCATCGGATCATCAGTCTGCGAGTGCTAACTACGGTTGAAGCAGATCCGACTGCCGTTCGGACGCAAGAAGAATAAGGGCAAGGCGGGTGAAGGGGAGGCGCCGCCGGCTGTTCCGGCTCAGAGCGGTAGCAGCCTGACACCGGTGTTGGATGAGGGCGCGGTGCCGATCGTTCCGCCTACGGAGGCGGTCGAGGACGACGTCGAGGGCGTGAAGCAGCTCTGCGGTATGGGCTTCAGCCGGACGCAAGCTGTCACCGCGCTCGAGACGAACGGATACGATTTCCAGAAGGCGCTGAACAGTTTGCTCGGCGGTTGAGGATCGTCCCGCACACTGATTGAGGACAAATGTTCCGGAGCGCCCGAGGATGACCGGACACGTAGAAGGAAACGCATAGGACGCGTGCAGGCGAAGACATGTGCTATCTGGAATCTGGATGGAGAGATGGAAGGCTGAGCTGACAGAGACCGGTGTTTTGATGAGATGAAGTCCCTTTGTGTCCCCAACGCTCGTTTTTGCGCCGGTGGCGGCGCGTGTTTGATACCTACATATGCCCTCTTCGTACCCACTACCCCGTACATCCCTTTGGCCGTTTCGTTTCGTCGTCGTCGCGTTTGAATGCTCTTTTACCCTCCGACTGCTACATCCACTCCCTAACTTCCCCTCGTCCCCCCAACTTCGCCCAACTCACCCGCAGAGTCTGCGCCGCTTCACGATCCTTGGACGTTCCCATTTCGGCTCGCCGATCGATTCCTTAATGCTGTACAGCCTAAGCTATTCCTAAAGGTTTCCCCTAAATCTATCCTTGTTCTACTCGTACTCGTTCCTGCGCGATACTGTTCCTCATGGAAGCTAGGAAATTCGGAAGCCGCATGGAGAATGGTTTTTGACATGTAGGAGAGCGTTCTAGTGTTATGCCTTGTTCCAAGTCGGGTGTCAGAATTGTAAGTCGAGTCTTATGACCACAAATGGCGCGAGTCACTGTCGGAGTTGACGTTCGTGGGCTGGCGAGCTGCGGTGGTACGTAGGGCGGGCCGCATTGACACACACTGTGGTTGTGGCCCAGGCGCGCGCACTCGAGAAGCCAAAAGCGGCCGACGCGCCGCTGGATTCAACTCCGTCATATCGCTCTTCTCCCACCCACCTCTATATCCCACCCACCCTTCTACCGTTCTACTCTGCGATACCTACATCTCTATACTTGAAATATTGCTAACTGCCTGGCGCATGGGACAACCTCCTGCATTTGATGTCGTCGTGTTGGGTTGCGGAGGCGGTCCGTGCGAGACGAACTTGTCGGCGTGCGTCTCTTTAGCCTTTGCTTCTTCTGCCGCTTGAACTCTGATAACTCTTTGGATGCAGATACCTTGTCAAGCCTCATGAAACGTCGTGGAAGGATGGGATATTGGCTTTAGAAGCTGGTGCGTCTACATATAGCATCGACATGTTCTAAGGCCCCTAACCGCGACATTAGGTTCAGGCATTGGTGCATTGCGCGAACTACTTGGGCGCCAACCGAATCTATTCGACGACTGGAATCCTACGCTTGGAGATGACTTGCCAACGGCGCACGACATCTATTCGGCCATTCAGTGCGTCTACTTCGCGGTCGTGTGCCGATTGGAGTCTGACCGGCTCACAGCTGTTTCCTGGTTACACATGCCCACTTCGATCACATCGCAGGCCTTGTACTCAGTGCAGGATCTCTGACTCTCGGGAGCACAAGGCGACGTGTGCGAGGACTGCCTAGTGTGCTTCACGACGTCGCGAGCGTGTTCTCAGGCCGTGTTTGGCCCGAACTCGCGAGCTGCAACCCCGGTGACGACCCGTACAAGCTCCTGCTCGACCCACTACCCGACAAATCAGAATACCATGCGCTGATGCCATCTCTTGAGGCACGAGCGATGCCTCTGGCGCATGGGCCAGCACCCTCTACGTCCAAGACTACCGCTATCGCGCCTACGTCATGTCACCCCTACGACAGCTCCGCGTTCTTCATCCGACATACGCCCTCCTCCGCCGAATTCCTCTTCCTCGGTGATGTTGAACCGGACTCGATTTCTCATACCGGCCGAACGCGTGCAGTATGGCGTGCAGCTGCACAACGCGGTGTACCTCGCACGGTCCGCGCGATCTTCATCGAATGCTCGTGGCCGGCTGGCCGGCCGGATAGCTTGCTGTTTGGACACCTATCCCCGGAGTATGTTGCGGCTGAGCTGAGGACGTTGGCGAAGGAGGTGCGGATTGCCGCGGGGGATGATCGTGGAGGTGTCGTGCGCAACGGGAATGCGAAGGGAAGGCATAAGACGGAGGGTCCTGCAGCTGGCGCACGTAAAAGCAAGAGACGGCGTGGAAGCATCCATGTCGTAGATTGCGATACTCTTCAGTCAAATGGCGCAGTCGGTGTGGCCTCTGACGATCCGCTTGCTCTTGTCGGCGCGCTCGCAGGGCTTACGGTCTATATCATACACTGCAAGGACGACTTCTCATCGGCGCCGGGAGAACCTCCTGTCAGTGAACGTATACTGCAGCAAGTGAAAGCGCTGGTTCAAGAAGACGGACTTGGATGCGAGATCGTACTCGCACGGCAAGGCATGAAGTTCAGTGAGTTGCCGCTCACCTTTCGCGCTCTCGGACTAGGCCTCTGACGCACTTCACCCCTTATAGGCATCTGAACTAGCATCATATCTATCTGCTAATTTATACTTTATGGGCCTCTTGTCTGACTCATGGACTGCTATATCTTGGTTCTTCCCCAGATGACCCTGCACGATCTGTACATGCTGTATCCATAGTAACCCCTTTCCCCAGTCTCCATGGTTGTAGAATATGTGTATATACCTTGCTTTGCTTACAGTACTAATGGCATCTAGTCAATAAATCTGTGAGATCTATCCGTGATCGCTAGTTATCGCAACCGCACGATGCACATCGTGGGATGTCAACGACTGTATCGATGTGAGCGCGTCGCTTGGGCTACATTTCACGAAGCACAATGCAGCTGATGATCCAAAAAGGAATAAGGCCGGGCAGCTTGGCATACGAGCATTGATGATTGGATTTAAGTAGTTATGAATGTTTGAACATCAAACTGCCTGGCCATGCTAATCTCGGTGCTTGTAGAAGCCCTCACGCACACTACCGCGAATCGGCTTCGTCGCGGGTCTTCGGCGCTTGTGGCAGCAAGGTAAGGCGGCAGTGTACTATACTTGTCAAGCCCAGGCTCAGACCGCGATAAGCCAATGTTCATCGTTCATGATCGTCGTCACAGCGCAATGGTCACGCCGGCGCGGCATCGGGACAGTATTGCTCCTTTTCCCAAGCCACCATGGCCTTCTCGATATCGAGCCTCGTTCCATCAGCACTGTATACTCCGTTGAATGAGATGTGCAACATCTTTTGACATGGCTCATCGTGTATATGTCGCCTGCGAAGCAACATTTGACTGCCCTGGGAGTCTCCCTGCCATTTTTTCTATCTACGCGCCTTGACGCGGTCACGCGAGCTGTACAGTCCACCGGCCAAGCAACTCCCTGTGGCCAATTGCGACACAACCGGCGAATCATCGCGACCAGGTGTGAGCTACACGTTGCACGACTACCCGGGACCTAGACTGGAACAGAAATACACAGACTCACGTGACGCGATGATGTCTCAGCCTGAAACACGACTTCGTTTACTGAGACAGAAAGCGACGCTCGATATAACCAAACACTGCTGTCGATTTACTTTCCCCCATCTTCATCTTCACTTTCCTTCCATCTCTCGGACGAACTCGCTCTGCTTCGAGCGGATTTTCGTGACATCGTGCGGCATGGGTCTCAACCGCCCTGTCGTCCATCCGGGTGTAGCGGGGAGTGGGCAACAAGAGGACTTTGTACCAGCAGTGCTGTGGGATTGCCGTTGAGCCGCTCTTTCGTAGCGATTGTCGTTGTTCCTTGCCCGGGGCGACCTTGGCCATGGTCGCCTCGTATGGGCCTCGCGCGGCCCCCAAGTCCTGTGCTTGTTAGCGTCGCCATGCGCACCTGCCAGGACGTAAGGGCTGTAGCGGACTTCTCCTTCGCTCTCGGGCGAAGGGTGGCTGGGCGGTGACGCTCTCCCCTCGCTTTACTTTGGCGCTTTCTTGCCATTTCTTCGTTTCCCTCGCTACGGAACCGCTCCGCTTGGGGCGGCCATCTGTATCGACGCGCATGTCTTGCCATGTCCCGCTGCGCGATTCGGGCCTTTGTTATACTTCCCCGGACGAACTCGTTCTCCTTTGAACGGATCTTCGTGACATCGTGCGCGGGACAAAGCTTCGAGCGGTCCTGTCGCTCATCCGGGTGTAGCGGGAGAGTGGGCAATAGGCGGATTGCCGTTGAGCCGCTCTTCCGTAACGATTGTCGTTTCCTTTGCCCGAGGAGGTCCTGGCCATGACCTCCTCACATGGGCTTCGCGCGGCCCCCAAGTTCTGTGCTTGTAAGCGTCGCGGTGCGCACCTGCCAGAGCGTAAGGGCTGTAGCGGCGTTCTTCTTCGTCCCTGTACGAAGGAGACTCGTATATTGGCTGTACGGTGACGCTCGTGTTTGCGCACTCTTGCCGCGAGCCACACCGCTTTTTACTTGTTTGCTCACTTCCTCCCGTTGTAGGCTCAGCATCAGCGCCCCGTCACATCGACTGCCCGGACCTGCGATTGGTGCGTCTCAAATTCTCTCCGTCCACACCATATCCTGACTTCCCTCGTCAGCGTTGCCGGCATACTCGCCTCACAAGCAGTACTTGGTGGGCGGTCAGCGTAATCTTACTTTCTTACTTCACGCCCTCCATTCATGTCTGGCCCTGTATTATATATACAACAATAAACACTGTCTTCTAAACCCTCGCAATCTTGCCTGCGTTCCTGTTTCCGTGATATGTCTTTGGTAGACGTTCTTATGTGAGTTGCATGACCTGAGCGTCCACGCCGGTGGCTCAGGCGGGAGGGCTCACTCTACGCGACTGTCGGTTATTGAGACGACTCGTGTACTAGCAGTGAGAGGCATACGGGCGGTCGAACGTCATTCGAAGGTCAAACAGATAACAACGCGACGCAGCGCTGAGCTGGTCAGACATAGTAAATCCGCCGATGCATAGCCGTCGTCATAAGGATGAGCTATGGACGTAAAGTGGTAGACGCGGTGAGCGTGCACGCTACGCCGCGTTGCGACGCGCCTCGCGTTGATCACATCGCACCTTGCCCCAAACGTCCATGATCGAGGAATATTACATCACCCAATCCTAGTCCCTCGCCATAGTCCATTCCTCACTTCGCAGTCCAGTCGTGACATGCACATGAGAGTGCTTCGATCTTCGTAGTTCATCAGCTGCTTAGCGCAGTGCGCAATTCCCGCCTGGCAGCTCGAATCGCCTCTGTCGCGATCACGCGACTTAACACCCCAAGCTTCCAGGTCGACCGATACTGGAGATCGCCCAACAGGAGGCAGCGTGTGTGTCCTCACTACTGCTCGTGCTCGTGCGCGAAACGAGCGATACTGAAACAACGATATACAGACTCACGTGACGCGCTTTGTCTCAGTCAACGACGGCTGAGACATTCAACGGAGGGCGATATATACTGAGCACACCCGCCCACTCTGGCTCCCCATCTCCCTCTACCGCCTCATATTCCTCCTCGCCACTCTGCTATCTCTCCTCCGGGAGCCTGGTCGCGAGACGCGAGGGGGTCTTGGCATCGTACGCTTCGGCGTGCCTTCGGGCAACGGGCACGACAACATTCGGTTCATCATGCGCAGGAGGATCCGCCATGACGATACCGAAGCTTGTCCTCTCCCCGCTACGACTCATTCTGCCTGGCTGGGCGTCAGCGCTTCTGGCTTTCCCAAACGTCGCCGCTCCTCGCTGAGTGGCTTCGTGACATCGTGCGCTTCGGCGTCCCCTTGGGCGAACGGGCACGACAACATTCGGCTGTCAGAGCAGGAGGATCCGCTCTGGTGACCGTAGCTTGTCCTCTCCCCGTTACGATCGTCTTCGCCCGAGAGGTCCTTTACCCAGACCTTCTCCTATGGGCTCGCGCGACCCAACTCCTTGTGGAAGCAGTGGTCGCAGCGGTTAAACCCTCTGCGCTCGCGCGGACGGTATGGCACTTCCCAAACGGCGTCGCTTTCGAGCGGCTTCGTGACATCGTGCGCTTCGGCGTCCCCTTGGGCGGACGGGCACGGCAACATTCG